CTTCGCCGGTATCTGGGGAGCCCCTGGGAACCTGTGCTCCAGCCCAGGCCGTGGAGCGGAACCCGCCACTCCAGTTGGGGTGAGGGCAGCGGGGCCCAGACAGGGCAGGGTGCAGCCCAGGTTACCCATCCTCGAAAGAGCCCTCCAACCTGTGGTTACCCTAGAGGCGTGGGCTGGCTTTGGGGGCTGTGCTTTGGGGTCTGCCTTTTGGGTTGGCTGTCAAATTACCGGCCAGGCTGGCTTCTTCCTCTCCCTGCCCATCTGGGAAGCCTCAGCACCTGCCTGCTTTCCGGCCCGTGGAGGGTCCTGGCAGCATGGTGGGGCCTGCTCCCCGAACCGCAGAGGGGGCAGCTAACAGGTGGGCCACCCGGTGAAGAGGCCACTCACACCTGGGATGCCAGCCGAGAAGAAGGCTCACGTGGGTGCCGTAGCCGGGGCAGCCCCTTAGACGAGGGTCCGGAAGGTCTCCCGGGAGGATGGAACGGCCCCAGGGGAGGGGGATGGCGGGCTGAGGAGCCCTGGATGGAAGCGGGGGCCTCGGGGCTGAGGCAGCTGATGGCATGCTGGGGTGGCGGTGGCTCCTGTGTCCTGGTGTCAGAGACGCTCCCGCCAATCTGCACAATTGTTTGTGAGCGATAAAGCCAGCCCCAGTCATGGGGACACAGGAGAAGGCCCTGGGACACAGCCCGGACCCCAGGCCCAGCTTTCTGTAGACCCAGGCAGCGTCCTGAAGGCCTGGGGGTTCTGGGCGGGCGCTGGCAGACAGGATGGAGGGTGGCAGTTGCTTTGGGGGTCGTGGCAGGCTGGGCCCCTCAGTGCCTGGTTCATACCGTGTGTCATCACTGTCCTGTGTGAGGGGCCCAGATTTGGGGGCCTGGCTCCAGGGAGCGCTGGGTGCTGGCACTGCCAGGAGGTAGGCACGGCCAAAGAGGTGCTGAGGCCTTTCTGGGGAGCCCCAGTGCCCCCTGCGAACCCAAAGCCTGAGCTGGACTCCCCCCTGCCCACCCGAGTGGGCCCCTTCACCGTTCCTGTTTCTGACGCTGGGACGGTTGCTGTGAGGCCTGGGTGACCAGGAACAGCAGAACGGAGCAGGGAGGTGGAGGCTGACTCCAGGGAGGCCACACTTCTGGGGGACGATACTGAGGCGAGCAGAGGGGAGAAAGCCACACGCCCCAACCTCCCAGACCCCTGGCTTCCCAGGGGTGAGGGGTTCCTGTCCTCTCTCTTTGTAACAAGCCAGGATTCCAGGGGTGGCAGCTGCAAGGCTGGGGGAGGGAGAGGGTCCTGGGGGCCCTGGGCTGGGAGGGGGCTGGGAGGGTCCCTGCATGGGGTGCCGGAGTCTCCCAGCTTCCATGGGACCCGGCCCCTGCATGGCTTAGCTGGGTCTGAGCAGAAGCTCCTCCTCTCAGAAGCAGGTCCCACGTCACTCCCTGGAGGCTAGTGGCTGGGGGACTGGACACAGAGTTGATGTTTCACCCAGCAGGAGGATGGGCTGCAGGACCCCACCCCCACCATCCTTCAGCAGGTGGACGCACCCCTTGCTCAGCCTAGGAACCGCACGGGGTGAGCAGGCGGTGTGGCGTCAGTGCCAGGAGCTTGGCATCCCCTCAGACCAGCTGCCCTGCATGCGGCCAGACCGCTACCCTCACAGGCCCAGCTCCCTCCGAAGGCACCTTGGGCACGTGTGGCCGTGGCAGGGCCTCCTGGGCTCCTGCCGTCTTACAGGTGTGGGGCCACCGGTCTCTGGTTCACGTTCTTGCCATTTGACTAGGAAGGGCTTCCCATTCCAGTGAGGCGGTGGGACCCACACCCTGCCTTCTGGGATATGTTGATGGTTTTTCACTTCCATGTCTGCGATCTTTCTGGAGTTACTTTGAGACAGGAAGTGAAACAGGAGCCTGCTCTGAAGGGCCTACCCCACGCCCGGCCCCCCACGACCCGCTCCGCAGCCCGCACCACATCTGGGGCTCCTTACTCCCCCTGCGGATCTCTGTCTGTCCCGCACAATGGGGGGCTTCGGGCCCCTCACTCCACTCTTCGGGTCTCCCCTGCCACCCCGTCCCGGGATCAGTGTCACATCTTCTCATTGGTTTCCGGTGCTGTCATTTACTTTCGGTAAAATGCACCTATTTTCAGTGTGCAGTTTGCTTTCTGACACACAGCTGTGACTGCACACCCACCACTGTTGCCCCTAGACCCCCAAGCACCTGTCCTGCGACCCCTGCATCCCTCCGGCTGCTGTAGCTGGAGCCGCGCTCATGGTCACTCGGGTGCGTGCTCTTTGTGGTGTGAGGTTTGTGAGCCTTGAGGAGCTCGTGCCGACAGCTGCTACTGCGTGTGGGGCTGAGGCGGGCACTGCCTGGTCACACACCCACCATTGACCGTCGGCCAGTTGCTGGCACAGGTATCCCCGCCCTCTGGGCAGCTGGATCTGGCTTCATCCCAGGTCCCAGTGGACCCCGAGCCACCTCCTCTCCGCCCTGGACAGCATGCAGCTCCGTTGGCTGGCTGTGTGGGATTCAGGGGAAGCAGCCCCCCGGGAGGACCTAGTAAGGTGTGTGTTCCAGACACCTGCTTGGGATTTTGATTGAGGTGACAGGAACCCTTTGCTGTGGCATAGGGGCAGCAGGTCTTTTCCCAGCACCAAGTGCCCCTCCAGGCTGGCTCCTGCCTGGGAAGCCTCTGCCCTCGCCCCCGCAGGTTTTAGCAGGTTAGAGAGCTATGAGTCTTGCGTGCCTATCAGCAGCTGACTTCCTAAGCCCCTTTTATTGTTTTAACCCTCAGAGTCACAGATTGGGGGACAGACAGGCACAGGGCCCCCGTCTCCTCTGAGTCAGATGTTCCCATGCCCTGGCCACTCACAGCCACACTCCCTTGAGGCAAGCCGGGCCCATCCCTCCCTGTCACAGCAAAGCTGTTTATTCTATTACCTTTGTCATTGTTACAGTTCAGTTATGTAAGTATTACCAGAATTCGGTCTCCTTTGTTAAGAACTTAAAATATCAGAGTTTAAGCCACGTCTTCTGTGTCCCCCACCCTCACCATCCCCAGAGGGGACTGCCATCTCCTGGTGGACACGTGACCTCCAACCCTTTCAGAGTTTTAACCAACATAGACGCCGACACATGGACACCTACATAAGCACACGTGATACTCAAGTACATACATGCCCACGCACACACAGCAACCCAGGTACACACCCCCGAGTGCATGCGCCCACATACCTGAGTGCACCCATGTACATGTGCCCGAGTGTGCCCGCACCTGAGGGTGTGCGCAGGTGCACATAACCAAGAGCACGCGCACACGTAGCTGAGAGTGTGCCCCCAGACACAGGCACGTGTGTCCAGACGCCACGGTACCTCTGCAGTGGCTTCCTCCACGCAGTGCCTCCATCTCTCCAGGGTGCACACTGCAGTGTGGGTGAAGCTCAGAAGCCATGCCATGAGAGTAGCCATCACGGAAGGTCCCTGCTGCCTGACAGTTCATGGGGAAGTTCAGAAAGGACAGCTCTGTAGAGACAAAGGGATTTGTGGTTTCCCAGGGTTGGGGGTGATGGCTGGAGCTCAGGGTTTCTTTTGGGGGTGATGAAAATGTTCTCTAATTGATCGTGGTGATAGATGCATCACTGTGAATGTACTAAACACTCTTGAGTTGTGTTAAGTGGGTGAGTTGTATGGTACGTGAATTGTATCTCAAGTCTGAGTCCGTGGCCGTTGCTCTGGCCCAGTACCCACCCCAGACGGTGCCTCGTCCACAGTAGACAGTCACAGCTCGTGGTGCTAGAGGCCACAGGTCCAAGGTCAGGGCATGGCAAGGCCTTCCTGGCTCACATGGTGGAAGGGGCGGGGCGGCTCTCTGGGACCTTTGTAAGGCCCTGGTCCTGCTCAGGAGCTCATCAGCCTTCACCTCCTGATGCCATCACCTGGGGGGTAAGGACTTCAACATGTGAATTCCAGGCAGACAGAAACATTCAGTCCACAACTCAGTGAAGCTGTCTAACAAAAACAAAGAAGGAGCTGCGAGGAAAATATCTATTTAAGGTCATTCTTACCAAGTTCATTCCTGTAAACTGCTGTGAAGCCCTTCAGAGCATGGGCCCCTCCATCCACCCCTCCCCATCAGTGGCCACAGGCCACGTTCTCACCCTGGCCACCTGCATGTGGCTGCTGCCCATTCACACCCCCACGAATACTGAGTGAGTTTCTCTGGAAGAGACGGAGTAGTGGGGCTGCGCAGCTGCTGTGATCTGTGGGCGCCCCACACCGCCCGGACACTCGGCCCCTCCGAGGGCGCCCCACACTGCCTGGGACCCTCAGCTGCCTCAGCAGCACTGGGCACCAGGCACCTAGCACTGTGTCCCATGGGCACTGGACACCAGGCCTAGAGCTCGGCTGGCCCCAGGCACATAATGCAACGTCCTGTGGAACTCGGCACCAGGCCTGGAGCTCCGCTGGCCCCAGGCGCGTAGCGAGGTGTCCCGTGGCCTTGTGGAGCCACATCTCCAGCCCAGTTGGTGTCCTGGGTCTCCCTTTTGCCAGGGCACCTCCACTGGGCCCTGGTTGGAAGCAGGTGGTGTGTCCTGGGGCTCTCGTCATCTGCCTCTGGCCTGATGGGTGGGGGCCCAGAAGGGGCCACAGCTCCTGGTTCTGGTTCCGTCTGGAGGAGGGCAGATGTGCCAGATGCCAGTGCTCCCCCAGGCCATGCCAGCAGCAGCCTTGGTTCCCAACACCCCCAAACCCCATCTTCACTCAGACCCCTCTGAAGCCTGCAGCTCTGAGCAGAGAGGGGCTGTGTGCCGCCAGTGTGAGCACACGTGCAGACATGCACGGAGCTCAAGACCAGGCGTGTTCACCTAGTACACGGGGGCGTCCAGAAGGGCACATCCCGCCTGGCCCTGCTGGAGACACCCAGACTTGTGTGTAGGCATCGGGTGCAGGGGCCGCGACGACCAGGAGCCCCCTGACCGGCCCGCCTCTGACCTGCTTCTCTCTCTCCAGGCATCGGTGGGCTCCGAGAAGCTCTTTGCCCCAGAAACCGACAGAGGTAAGTGTCTCCTCAGCTCAATTCCTGGGCCTCTCAAGGGACATGGTGTGCCTGGGTCTTGGTGGCAGATGTACCTCTGGGTGGGACTAGAATGCTGTGATTGCCAGGAGCAGGGGAGAGGAGAGGACAGTGCTGAGCCATCGGCATGGCCTTGGCTCGCCTCACAGCATTGGTTCCCAAAGTGGAACCATTAGGAATGCATGTTCTCAGGCCCCTCCCCAGGCTCGTGGGGTCTGACCCTCAGGGGAGCAGCTGGCACTGAAGGGCCACCCACCACTGTGGCTTCTGAGTTGAAGAGAAACAGGACTCAGACACTTCCTTGGCCTTTCCTGGCCAGGCCTTCATGACCCATGTCTGAGCTGTGGGGCGAGGTGTCCACAGGCCAGCAGATCCCAGATCGGGGAGCCCAGCGTCTTCTTAGGGCCTCCTGGCTCTGGGATCCCGGCATTCCCAAGCCAGGAGCCATGGGGCCTCAGCTCCTCGCCTCCCTGGGTTTCCAGCTGGAACTGCCCTTTTGCTGGGGTGGCTTCCGCCAAATGTGGTTGAACAGGACAGGCCTTGCTGGCAGGGATGGGCCCTGCTGCCCTGTAGCAGGCGTGGCCGTTACCTTCAAGATGGAAGCCTGCTCACATCAGAGCATCGCAGCAAAGCAGGTACAGCTGGGGTGGTGTCGGAAGGGGCGTGTGTGCGACGGGCCCCAGCAGGAGCGGCAGCTGGCATCCCGGGGCTGTTGAATACTCGGCTCACGGCTGTTGCATCTGCACAGACGCTGTCCAGTGCGGGCTGCAGGCGCTAGAAGGCACAGGAGGCCCCGCACGTGGGGTCTGGTCCCGGTCTGCGTGGCCCGAGCCTCCCTGCGTCCTGAGCGCTGCTGTGACTGCACAGGACTGGCCTGGAGATGCGGGAGCGGGAGGTCCCGGTGGGCGACGCCGGGCGCTGGGAAAGCCGGGGAGACAGCGCTGCTCACACCCTCTCTCCTGTGTCCTCCGTGTGGCCCCTCTGCCGTCGCTGGGTGGTGGCTGCTGTGGAAGGCCTGGCCCCAGATGAAGAGTGAAACTGGGGCTGCTTCCTGCTGCCCGTTTTTGCCTGGGAGGAGCTCCCTGAGGCCCCGGCAGACCAGGCCCCACGGCCACATGGGCAGGCACGGCAGCAGCTGTCCCTGTGGCCTTGGCTCCGCCATCCTGAGGCCCCAGGAAGGAAGCAGGGGCTGCCAGGGACGTGAATAGGAGATGCGACGCTTGGAGCCTGGTTTTGCTCCTCCTGCAGAACTGGGACCCCTAGCCACGGCAGTCCCCCTCCCCCGCCCCCCAGGCAACAGGGGCCCCTTGGTGTGGACACTGCCTTCTCCTTGCTTCTGGGGACTTGATCTGAGACCTGCCTGCAGGGGCCTGAAAAGGCGTGCTTCGGGGGAACCAGGCCCCAGGGGCGCAGAAGGGTCCACAGGACCTGTTGGGCGGGCATGCCTAGATAGGCAGAGGGTGGGCAGGGAGCAGGGCTGAGGGCTGTGACGGGCGGTCACAGTGGGGGCAGCCTCCCACCCAGCCCCTGCCCAGGTTTCTGGGAAGTGGTCAAGCCTTACACCAGGGGGTTCCATTAAGAAAAGGTGGGCACCAGCTGTGAGCGCTGCTATTGGGTGGGGTGGACACACCCTGGGCAGGGGCACATCCAGGGGCCATGGACGTGAGGCGAGGGCACACGGGCTCTGGTTCCTGCGTTCAAATCTCTCCTCTCTCATGCCAAGTCCTTGATGCACCTTAGTTTTGTCTGTAAAATGAGGTCATAGCGCCCACCCTGGGACTGATTCCTGCAAGGCCTGTCCCTGTCCCTGCAAGTGAGGTGCCTCCGGGCAGGTGGGCTGCCGGTTCCCCAGACTCCCGGGCCAGCTCCCTCTGCTGGGTCGGCCTGGAGCCTCGAGTGAGGTTCCGCTGGCTGTGTGGCCTCCGGGCCTGCCCCCGCATCCTAAGTGGGGGCACAGCGGGAACCCGGACATTGCCGGGGCACCTTCGGGGCACCTTCCGGAGCTCTTTGGACTGCAGGAGGGGCAGGGACGAGGCCCTGCGGACCTGAACGCAGCCGCCCTCTCTCCGCAGCCCCAGCGCTTTCGAAGTCGGAGGCCAAGGCCGTGGCGGTGCCCAAGGTGTCGGGCCTGGAGCGCAGCCGTGAGCTCAGCGCCGAGTGTTTCCTGCCCGCGGGCAGCCCCGCGGCCCCTGCCGCGCCCCGCCCAGGGCCCCCTCCCGGCGCCCGCGCCAGCCCCCTGGTGAAGAAGGAGCCCCCCGCCCCGCCCCGCCACACCCCGCAGCCGCTGCCCGCGCCCCCGCAGCCCCGCGGTCCGCTCCCGACACACGTGCCTGCGTCCCTGGGCGCCTTCGCGGGCCACGGCCTCGGCCAGGCGGCTGCCGGCGGCCTGCACAGCTTCAGGTGGGGGGTCCCCGCGGGAGGCGGGACCTACCTGCGGGGCAGGGGCCTGCGCGGCCTCGGGTGGGGTCCCTGGGTGGGGCGGGGCCTGTGCGGCCCCGGGTGGAACCGCCGCGGGAGGCAGGACCCAGAGGGGCGGGGCCTACGGGGGAAGAGCTGGTGCGGCCTCGGGTGGGTCCTCGCGGGGGCGGGGCCTACGGGGATGGGGCCTGCGCAGCCTTAGGTTGGGGGGCTCCGCAGGGTCGGGCCGGCAGGCGCTGAGCCCCGTGTCCCGCCGCAGGAGCAGCAGCGTGGGCAGCAACGCCCATCTGGGCCTGGGGAAGCACGTGTCGCTGTCACCACACGGGCCGGGCCCCCACCTGTCTACCTCACACCTGGCGCTCCGGTCCCAGGCGCAGCACCAGCACCACGCGGCCATGTTCGCCGCGCCCCCGACACTGCCCCCGCCCCCGGCGCTGCCGGCCAGCAGCCTGGTCCTCCCAGGACACCCGGCCGGTAGGTGTCTTGGCCGCGCTCTCCCCCGGGGCAGAGATGGGGGTGAGGGGACGCGGCCACCGGGGAGGGGGCACACAGCTTGGTCCTCCACCTGCTGCGGGCTCGGCGAACCCTGGGCGCTTCTCTGGCCTCACCGGTGGGCCTTTCCCCAGGGGTCCCCGCTGGTCCACGGGCCGTATGAGTGCAGGGACGGGCAGGACACAGGTGCGCGCACACGGACAGACGCGAGTTCGCCATGAGATGTGCGCCCAGGTGGCCTCTGGTGGGGGAGGAGGGGGCGCACGGCAAACAGGCGCCATCTCAGTGGAACCCCTACCGCGAAGGCCGCCTCCTCCTCCTCGGCCCCAGGCGCTTCCTCAGGCTCCGAGTCAACCCTGCCCAGGCTGGGGACAGCCCCGTGTCCCGGGATGGGACCAGGACGCTGGCTCCCGGGGAGGGGCTCACCGTGTTCTCTCTTGCCTCTAGATGCCAGCCTGTCGGTCTCATTCAGCCAGCCAATCATGTATTGCCAGCCTCATTCGGGGATTCTGATTGGTACTTGGTCACAGGCTCCTCTCTTACCTGCACCCCTGGGCCCGCACGTGGCGAGCGGCCACCCCGGCTTGGCCTGCCGACCCCGGGAGTGCCAGGTGACTATCCGCCTCGCCCCACCGGGAGCCCGCGGCCGACGTGCCTCTCTGTCTCTCTTTCTTTTTCTCTTGTAGATCACGAGCTGCTCAGGCAAGAGCTGAACACGCGGTTTCTGGTGCAGAGCGCCGAGCGGCCTGGCGCCTCCCTGGGCCCGGGGGCTCTGCTGCGGGCGGAGTTCCATCAGCACCAGCACACACACCAGCACACGCACCAACACACACACCAGCACCAACACACATTCGCCCCGTTCCCCGCGGGGCTGCCCCCGACGCCGCCCGCCGCACCCCCGCCGGTGCGTAGGCCCGCGTGCTGGCAGGGGGCGGGGTGGGTGTGGGGCGGGCACACGCAGCAGGCACACGCAGACACGCTCGCACGCACACCAGCCCCGGAGAAGGCAGGGGCCGGCAGCACCTCTGTCTGTCCGATCCCCAGCACACCCTCTGGCGTCCCCACCCCAAGTCATGCCCTGAGGTCCCACCCTGGGCTGTGTTCCTGGGCTTAGGCAGGCACCTTGTGCCCACGTGCGTGGGACACCCTTACACCTGTACTCGGTCCCCAGTGCCAGCGCTGGAGGCCCAGACAGGCCTGGGGGGCACAGGGACCAGGAGTCAGGGTGCCTCCCACTTCCCCCGCCCTGGAGGCTGGTCTAAGGAGGGAGCTGCTGGGGGCTCAGGTCTCCTCCACTCTTGGGTTTTGTTTGGAAACTGGCCGGTTTGTCAGTAACCCGTTGAATCCCCAGCCTGACCCAGCAGCCCAGGCTTCATGCCTCCAGCCTCAGCCAGGCACACACAGCTAAGCTCCCATCCCCTGCAAGGGGACCCTTAGAATGGGGGAGGACCCTGGTCCGAGACTGAGGTCAGAGCTGTGGGGCTGGCGCTCTAGAGGAGCCTGGGACAGCTGGCCGCCGCCTCGGGAAGCACAGTGCCATCCTGGTCACTGCCCAGCCCGGCCAGGTGGGCGGGGGCCAGGGCCCAGCGAGGGTGTCGTGTGTGTGTGGGGGGCCTCACCCTCCCCTCCTTCCCTTCCAGTTTGACAAGTATGCGCCCAAGCTGGACAGCCCCTACTTCCGACATTCCAGCGTGAGTGTGAGTGTCCCTGAGAGGTCCGTTGCTGAGTACATGGGCCCAGGCCACAGAGGGTGGGGCTGCTCCTCGCCTGGCCTGGTCCCTGCTGCGTGGGTGCCACCTCCTGGTTACAGGCAGAGGGTGATTTGGGGATCCGGGTCGTCACCCCGGTGATGGGGCCAGCCCCTCCATCTGCGCTCCTTCTCTTTCAGTTCTTCCCGTCCTTCCCTCCTGCCATCCCGGGACTGCCCACCCTGCTCCCACACCCCGGCCCCTTCGGGTCACTGCAGGGCGCTTTTCAGCCCAAGGTACCGCTGCCCTTGGCAGGTGGGGCGGGCACAGCAGGTGGGTGGGATTTTGGGGGAGTGCACGACAACCTCAGCAAACTCTCTGCCCACAACCCCCCTCCCTGTGCCCCCTCCCTGTGCCCCACTCCCTGTGCCCGCTGTAATCTGAGCGCTGGCATGAGTAGCCTCTGCTGGGGTGAGGGGCTCTGCTCTCTATGTGGCCACCATGGGAGGGGCAGGGGTCCGGACTGGGAGCAGCCCCAGGAGGTGGTGGTCGCCCACGAGGGGCTGCAGCCTCCACACAGAAGACACCGGTTCTCGGCAGGAGGTCCCAGCGTGGACAGCAGCCTCCCCAGCTGTCCACACTGCAAGGGACCTGGTTCTTATAGGACCATCTAGGCTGCAAAGGTCCTGGATCTTTTTTTTTTTTTTCTTTTGAGATAGAGTCTTGCTCTGTCGCCAGGCTGGAGTGCAGTGGTGTGATCTCGGCTCACTGTAATCTCTGCCTCCTGGGTTCCAGCTATTCTCCTGTCACAGCCTCCCAAGTAGTTGGGACGACAGGCTCGAGCTACCAAGCCTGGCTAATTTTTTGTACTTTTAGTAGAGATGGGGTTTCACCATGTTGGCCAGGATGGTCTCAATCTCCTGACCCTCATGATCTGACCGAATCAATCTCCCAAAGTGCTGGGATTACAGGCGTGAGCCACCGTGCCTGGCCGGTCCTGGATCTTTTATGCTTCGCACGTACAGGAGACCAGGGCTGTCCACACCGCAGGAAACCTGGGCCTTACGGGGCCTCCCACACTGCTGCAGGGGACACAGGTCTTACAGGACCATCCACAACACAAGGAGACCCAGGCCCTACAGGGTTATCCACACCGCAGGGGCCCCTGATGTTACAGGGTCGTCCACACTGCAGGGGCCCCTGATGTTACAGGGCCGTCCACACCACAGGGAACCCGAGCAGCAGGAGGTCATGTGCCATGTCCACCAGGAGAGAGGGAACCCTGTGGCCCTCATCACTGTCCCGGGCCTTGTGTTGTAACCCATCCCCCGTGGAGGGGTGCACAGCCCTTAGCCCTGAAGTCTCCTCACCTGTGGGCCTTGGGTTCTGAAGACGGCTGGGGCCATCCCCAGTGCCTGCCAAGCCCTTGGCCTCACGGGATGCTGCAGCCTCCCAGTCACTGCCCACAGCTGCCCTGAAGAGCCCAGCACGCACACCCGGGCTCACCTGGAATGCCCACGTCATGGATGGGCAGATAGAGCTTCCAAGGACGAGGCAGCCCTGGGCATCAGAGGGGCTGGGGCCCTCAGGCCACCGCGGTTGAGGGATTGAGAGGACGAATGGAGAAGGGACACGTGGTTCAACTGCAGGTGTCAAGCAGGGGTCCCCGAACTGGGACTCTGAGGGGCACTACGCTGAGCCCGGGAAGCCAGGATGCTGAGGCCCTGAGTCTGGGAGAGGGGGCATCCCGGCCATGCCCCAGCACAGCTGCTCCTGGGGAAGGCGGTGCCCGGAGGGAAGGGGCGGATGAGCCAGTCCGAGCAGGAGAGGTGCGAGGCGTGGCGGCCAGTCTTTGCCGTGGGACCTCCTTTCCCTGGAGTCCCTGGTGGGGAACGTGGCTCGTCTCCCCTCAGCCCGCCCAGGCTCACAGCAGCTCCTCTGGGCTGGAGGTGGGGGTCACCTGACTTGACCCCTGGCAGCAAGTGGCTTCCCAGGGAAGGTTGCCCGTTCACCCTGGCAGGAGCACCCTCTCACCATGGTGGAAACTGGCGGGCTGAGGGTGCGGTCTTCCTGGGTGACAGCATGGGGGGCCCCACAGCAAGGAAAAGCGGGGCACAGGCCCTGCCAGAACCAGGAGCCCCTGAGGCCTCGTGCCTGGGCAGCCTCACACGCACACAAGCTCGCTTTCTCCCTTCAGACTTCAAGCCCCATTGAGGCGGCCGGCCGGGCTGGTGCGGTTCACACACTCCTGCAGAAAGCGCCTGGGGTAGGTGTCCGCGGCGCCCGGGCCCCGCCCCAGGCGATGTCATGCCCCGGCCCAGCCCCGTGTGTCCCCTGCACCCCAGGACTCAGCCTCCCGAGGGGCCCGCAGCTAACGCTCCCATCCTGTCTCCACAGGTGTCCGACCCGTACCGGGCGGTGGTCAGGGTGAGTGCGGGCGGGAAGGCCTATGGCAGGGGAGGACCCCGGTGCCCCGGGGTGGCCGCGGGTGGGGGTGGCGTGTGCCCGCTGAGCCGCCGTCCCGTTGCAGAAGCCGGGGAGGTGGTGCGCCGTCCACGTGCAGATCGCCTGGCAGATCCACCGCCACCAGCAGAAGATGAAGGTGAGGCCCGAGGGCGCCGCCCAGGCTGGTGCCGCGCGTGTGTGGACGAGTGTGGAGCCCTCGCCAGCCTGGGTGGGGCCTAGGCCAGGTGTGAGGCTGTGTGTGTGCACGCGGTGCGTGGATGTGACCCTCGAGCGAGGTGCCTGTCCCTTCCTCTGCTTTACACGAGTCAGTGAGGCCGCGGGGCGGTGTGAGTGCCTGGGGCCGCAGGCCCTTCCTGTAGTGAGGGATGCTGGCTGGGTTGCGGGGAGCAGAGCAGGGGCATGGGGATGGCGCACCAGCTCCCCACGTCACTGGGGTGCACCGGGGTCCTCTGCCCTGCCCCTCCTCTGCTCCCTACGTGACTGAGTGCCTGCCGTGCTCCTGGGTCCTCAGCAGTGATGCCGGTAGACCCTGGACACTCACGGCTGCTGTGCTCCTGGGAAGGCTGAGGAAGGAGGTGGCCCCATGGGCAGCTTGTGAAGGCCCCACGGGGCTGGGAGCTTCAGGGCGGGAAAGGGTCTTGGGAGGACAAGACAGCGGGACGGTGGCCTCAGCCACGTGGGGCTTGCACTGTTCCGAAGACTCACGTACCTCCGCGCGTTAAGGTCCGTTACATCCTCGGTACCTTTTGGGAGAGGCCTCAGCAGGAGATGTCAGAGCGGAATCTTCTGTCTTTATAACTGCATGTCTGGGGGGCCTCTGGAGGGTGAAGCGGAGGACTCAGGTGCTCCCGGGGGGCTGCCTGCAGCACTGCTGGGAGACATCACACCTGCTGCGTCCTCGGGAACTTGGGGTGCAGTTGTTCCTCCGCGGAGGTCAGATCCCATGAGAGGTCCAGGGAGAGGGCGCGCGCGGTCGGCCCTGCCCCCACCTAGGGCCAGAGCTCCCCAACATCACCACAGCCAGCAAAAGCACGGCAGTGCCAGAATAAGTGACAGGGACCAGGAGGGGCCGGGCCAGGCTGGCCCGAGTGCGGGTCAGAGGCAGGACAGACGCAGGCAGCAGAGTCGCCAGGACCCAACGGGGTCTTGCTTGGCCACGCCCCTCCTGGCTCTGGGCCCCTCTGCTCCCAGAGGAGGGCACAGGTGGCCCTGGGCTGCCCCCAAGCCTGGCCCTGCCTCCCACAGCTGCTGGAGCTGCCCGGCCAGTGCAGTGGCCACAGCCTGGTAGCCACGGGGCCCCCGAGGTGTGGCCAGTGCAAGTGAGGGGCACACACTTTAGTTTTGTGTAATTTTAACAAATTTAACTTTGAAAACTGAAACCAGATTCTGTCACTGAGAAACTCTTAAGCATATTTGGAACAACTTGCGCGTGTGAGTACGCTTTTTCAGCTTTTTTTTCTTTTGATGACTCTGTCTCCCAGGCTGGAGTACGGTGGCGTCATCTCGGCTCACGGCAACCTCCACCTCCCAGGTTCAAGCAGTTCTCCTGCCTCAGCCTCCCAGGTAGCTGGGACTACAGGCGCCCACTACCACGCTCGGCTAATTTTTGCATTTTTAGTAGAGACAGAGTTTCTCCATCTTGGCCAGGCTGTTCTCAAACTCCTGATCTCGTGATCTACCTGCCTCAGCCTCCCAAAGTGCTAGGATTACAGGTGTGAGCCACCACCCCCGGCCAGAAAAAGGAAGTTATTTTCCATGACGTTGCGGCATCCCAGTTGAGATGTGTTCAGAGACTTAACCCTTTTTGCTGATCATGTGTCACATTTCGGTCAGCCTGAGTTAGAAAACACACCCTTGCAATTGATTCCACCTGGTTCCCCTCTGGACTGTGGCTCACACCCAGTCCCTGCGGCGCCCCCAGGCCTGGGCGCTGTGGTCAGGGCCTGGTCCCAGGCAGGCGGCCGTGACACGCTCTCCTCCCAGCAGATGCAACTGGAGCCCCACAAGCTGGAGGTGGGTGCGAAGCTGGACCTGTTTGGCAGAGCCCCCGCCCCGGGCGTGTTTGCCGGGCTCCACTACCCGCAGGACCTGGCCCGGCCCCTCTTCCCCAGCACAGGTGAGACTGGGTCGGAGCCACGTAGGGAGCGGGGACAGAAACCTCCCGTTGCCGCCCGGCCGAGCCCGCCTTCCCGTGCCGGAGTGATGGTGCTCTGGACCTCGGCACTGATGCCAGGTCAGAGCCTGACCACTAGCCCACCTCTGCTCCCCACCAGCCTCCACAGAGCAGATGGGGGCCTGGGACTGGTGCTCCTCCCCACCACGTCCCGCCCAGTGTGTCCTGGTGGGCCTTCAGCCCACTCCACGTGGCTCTGAGGTGGCTGGTCCTGGGTGCCCCTCCTCTCTGCAGCTCCCTGTTCTGACCACCCGGCTGCACCAGAGGCAAAGGAGCGGGTGGCAAGGACCCAGGCCCGTGCCAGGCTGCCCCCTTCCGTCACCCAGCCTAGCTTTCCCTGGAGGAGTCTGGCTTCTTGCTGAACAGCAGGAAGCTGCTCTGATGGCCGGGCCCACCCCGCAGCGTGCCTTTCTCACGTGCACGGCTGCTCCAGGGGTCCCAGGACTGGTCCAGCTGCGATGATTTCTGGGGAAGAGTCCCAGGACTTGGCATATGCTGTCCTCTGTGGCTCGGCCGGGGTGGGGTCTGTGGGAAGCAGTGGGGGCTTCCCTGCTCTTCTAAGACCCCAGCCCCCCAGCAGCGCATGTGACCACACGTGTCGTCTGACAGCCGCGTACATAACACACGTGTGTGCGCACACATTAAGCATCCACATACAGATGCAGTTACATATACATCTGTGTGCACACACATGAAGTACCCCCATCCACATACAAACGGCTACACACAGGTGTGCACACACATGAAGTACCCCCATCCACATACACGCACGGTTACATAACACACGTGTGCACACATGAAGCATCCACATCCACGTGCAGACGCGGCTACATACGCGTGCACACATGAGGCATCCGCATCCACATGCAGGCATGGCTACATGCACACGTGTGCACATGTGAGGCATCTCCATCCATGTGCAGACATGGTTACATACACGTGTGCACACGTGAGGCACCCACATGCAGGCATGGTTACACACGTACGTGCATGGGTGTGCACATGTGAAGCATGCTCCTCCATATACAGTTGACCCTTGAACCACACAGAGGCTGGGGCAGTCCCCACCATGCGGTTGAAAATCCAGGTATAACTTTGACTCCCCAAAACCTTAACTCAGGCCGCTGTTGGCAGGAAGCCTCACCAATGGCATAAACAGTTGATGAGTACCGACCGTGTGTTTCACGTACAATGGACTGTATTCTTACAACACAGTAAACTAAAGACAAGAGAACCTCACGGAACAGCACGAGCAGGCATGGTGCTCACCCAAGGTCCCAGCGACTCTGGAGGTGAGGCGGGAGGGTCACTGGAGCCCAGGAGGCCAAGGTTGCAGTGGGCCGTGATGGCACCATTGCACTCCAGCCTAGGCAACAGAGCAAGACCGTCTCAAAAAAAAAAATCACAGGGAAGAGAAAATAGATGTGCCACTCATTGCGTGGAAGAGGATAAAGACCTTTATCCTCATCCTCACGCTGCGTGGGCTGAGGGGGAGGAAGGGCTGGTCTTGCTGTCTCGGGCAGCAGGGATGGGGGAGAATCCGTGTCCAAGTGGGACCCGCGCAGTTCAAACCCGTGTTGTTCAAGGGTCAGCTGCATGCACACGTGTACGTACACACACACACACGGGTGCACGTGGGCTCTGTGCTGCCTGTCCTGCCAGAACCTTCCCCAGCACCCACGTGTACACAGTGGTGTAGACAGCAGTGGCATCCCACTAGTCTGGGTTTCTCAGAAAGCGGACGTCCGGGCTGCAGTTCCCGGCTCTCCGCAGTGTGGCTCAAGCCCCCAGGACACCTGCTCAGTGTCCAGTTTGGGGCCCTCCCCAAAAACTGCCCACCACACTTGACTCTGCTCCTTCCCCGCCTCCCTTCCCTCCTCTGGACCCCTGGTGGCTGTCCCTCAGTGTCCTGCCATTTGTCCTGCAAGGTGGGGCCTCCTCCGTCCTGCAGACCAGTGCCACATCTGCCTCCACGTGCATGGCAGGTCTCGATGTCTGGCTGGCGGGGGCAGGGTCATTCCTTGTTGCTCTTTTTTCCCTTCTGTGTAAACTTTAAACCTGCCTGTTGGGTTCCAGCTTTTGCTGGAGCTGGGTTAAAGGTGCATACGTGAACCTGAGGGGAATCCGTATCTCTCTGGTGTCATGTTCCTATTCCTGAACATGCCGTATCATTTATTTAGGTCTTAGTAGAGTTATTCTTCGATGCTTTATATTTTACAATACTGTGATTGGAATCTTGAAGTTACATTGCTCAAGCTGTTGCTAGAAAATAGAAGGGCATGTCCGTTTTGCAGATGTGTGTGCCATCTCCTGATTTTGTGACTGGCAGTCTTGCTAAATTCTTACCAATGCAAAGAAGTGTGTCAATTCCCGTACACTTTGTGTGTGGAAAGCCACGTGTAGGAGTGGACCGTTTGCTCCCTGGCTGGAGTCGCCCTGCCCTTTGTTCAGATGAGCCTCCTTTCCTGCACTGCCAGGGAGGCCGCATTAGCCCTCCTCAGTGAGTTAGGGAGTTTCCTCTTCTGTTGTCCGGAGGAGCTCGTGAGAGATCCTGTCCTCACTGCTTTGAAGGCTTGGCAGGCTCATTTCTAGTCTGAAGGACTGATTTTCCCCTGGGGTATGGTACTCCGCAGCGTTCTGTTTCTTCTTGAGTCCGTTTTAGTGATCTGAGTGTTTCTAGTGAGTGGATTTTGGGCCGGCTCTGTCGCTGTTCACCTGTCACGCCCGAACCTGCAGGCCCCAGTCATTCTTAACACTGCTTGGCTGGCCGTCTCTGTTTCTCTTCATTAATCTCACCAGCAGTTGGTCTGTTTCACCCTTATTTTATTTTATTTCATTTTATTTTTGAGATAGAGTCCCACTCTGTCACCCAGGCTGGGGTGCAGTGGCATGATCTCAGCTCACTGCAACCTCCGCCCCCTGGGTTCCAGCCATTCTCCTGCCTCGGCCTCCCAAGGAGCTGGGATTAACAGGCGTGTGCCGCCACGCCCGGCTAATTTTTGTTTTTTAGCAGAGACGAGGTTTCACTATGTTGGCAGGGCTGGTCTCAAACCCCTGACCTTGTGATCCGCCTCAGCCTCCCAAAGTGCTGGGATTACAGGCGGGAGCCACGCTGCCCGGCCAGCGTCAGCCGCATTATAAAGGAGCAGCCTGGCCATGCTGCCCTCTCTGTGTGTGTTCTGGGTCCTGCCTTTTCTAGCTCGATCTGGAGGGTGACAGTATTAACTCCTGAGCTTCGCACAGCGCAGGCATTTGAGGCGATTGACTTCCTCCCCCACCTGCCACACTCGCTTCGACCGCCGTGTTTTCACGGCGTGGGGCGGGCTGTCGTCTTTGTTAGTTTAGAAGAGTGCCATTAGCGTTCGGGCCAGAGCTGGGTGGTGACCAGAAGCTGTGGCCACACCTGCAGCACCCCACGTGGGAGGTGTGAGCACCCTGCTGTGGGGTCCCCAGGATCAGGGCTGGGAGGGAGCTGCAGTAACCTAGAGACAACACCCTCGTGGTCTTTACCAGAAACCTGCCCTCTGCGGTGAGGGAGGCCCGCCCCCAGGCGCAGGGCAGCCCCTGACCCAACAGCAGAGTCTCCTCCCAAGGCCGGGGCCGCACGTGGTTGCTCTCCACTGGATTCCAGGGCTTTCAGAGGGTTGTTGGGGGGCCAGGGCCAATGTTGCCATGGCGCTGTGGGCCGGGCCTGTGCCCAGGAATGCCATGAGGAGCTGCCATGTGCAGCACCCAAGACAGAATCATGTGCATCCGGGCCTGAGGCCCAGCACCACAGTAAGAAGTGAGGACCCTTTATCTGCTCCCAGGTGAAAACTCTGGGATAAGAGCTTCAGGAGCAGTCCGATCCAGGTGCGTCTTACTTGTGGACTTTGTCTCTGCCCAAGTTGGGGCTCTTTTGCTCCAAGGGCCGCACTCAGCCCCTCTTTCCTTCCCCCCTTGAGGTCCCAGGGTGGCTGCCGCTGCAGCCCGAAGTCAAAGCCCCAGATCGTGGGGTAGATTCCACCTCTTGACTCTGACTGGACACATTTCACCCCTCAGGGCATGCGAGACAACGGTGGGTGGGGGGTGGAGGTTCACAGAGGAAATTGGGGTTCCCCTGTGAGCAGGGCTGTAGACGAGAGGCCCTGGTGCTCTCTCCTGGCCTCTGTGAAGACTGGCTGCCACCCCTAGGTGCCGCCCATCCTGTCTCCAACCCATTTGGACCCTCAGCCCATCCCAGCAGCTTCCTGCCCACTGGCCCCCTGACAGGTGGGTGCCTCATACCAATGCAGCCTGGCTGGTTCCTCAGTGGCCTCGGGGTGGGGGAAGTAGGTGGGAGGAAAGGTGGCCCCGAGCCCCGGCGGGGAGCCCCTTGGGTCGTGTGGGCAGCACCTGCCAGCCCCAAAGCCTCTGCAGGAGCCCCACCCAGCCAGGTGAAGCCACAGCCCAGGCCTCACAGACCTGAGTCCGCGGTTACCCCCACAGACCCTTTCAGCAGACCAAGTACCTTCGGGGGCCTCGGGAGCCTGAGCAGCCACGCCTTTGGGGGCCTGGGCAGCCACGCACTGGGTGAGTGACCCGGCCTGTGCCCCCTCCCCCTCCCTGCTGCCCACGCCCCTCCCCCACACCTGTGTGTTCTGCAGGAACCCTGGTGTCTGGCTGACCTCCCTCCTCTCTGGGCTGGGCCTCCTTGGGGTACCCCTTCTCAGTGTCAGCCCACCTGAAACCCCTGCTGGATTCTTCTGGGGAGGGGACAGACCTGACCTGCTCCCTGGCCTCTGTCCCCAGCTCCCGGCGGCAGCATCTTTGCCCCGAAGGAGGGCTCCTCCGTGCATGGCCTGCCCAGCCCCCATGACGCCTGGAACCGCCTGCACCGGGCCCCGCCTTCCTTCCCTGCACCGCCTCCGTGGCCCAAGTCTGTGGATGCCGAGCGGGTGTCAGCCCTGACCAACCACGACCGAGAGCTGGACAGCAACGGCAAGGAGGAGCAGGAACGGTGAGTGTCCCCGGTGACCCCCGCCCCCAGTTCCCTCTCCCCCCGTTACCCTCCCCTCCCCAGTTCCCTCTCCCTCCCCCCCGTTACCCTCCCCCCCAGTTCCCTCTCCCCCTCCCCCAGTTCCCTCTCCCCCAGCCCCTCTCACCCTCCCCATCCCCGTTTCCTCTCCTCTTCCAGTCTCCCCCTCTCCGGATCCCCGCTTCCCGCTCCCTCCCCACCCACCCGCTGTCCAGCTGAGTGCTGAGCCCCGACAGGGCCAAAGCTCTGCTCCCGCGTCTCCCTGGGGTGGGGCGGCCAGGCCCCGGGGAAGGGTGAGGGGGTGAAAGACCCCCCACAGGCAGCCCACACCTGCCGTCAGGGGGCCTCCAGGTGGCTGCGGTCCCACCACGTCCCACCACGGGCTGTGGGGGGGGCTCTGCGGGAGGCCCCCGTCCTTCCGGGGGGACAGCGAGGGGCCGAGGGGGCCGAGGTCGCTGCAGCGGCTCGTCCTGCCTCTGTCTCCCCCGGGCTGAGGTCTGGGGGGGTCCTGGGTGCCGGCGGGGTGGGCGCCGCCGGGTGGGGTCTCGGGAGTGACGGTCCCGCCTCGCCGCCCCAGGGACCTGCCGGAGAAGACGCGCCTGCCGAGCCGGGCCTCGCCCGCCACCCACGCCGGCCACGCGGTCGGCGGCCTCCTGCTCCGCGGCCAGGGCGAGCCGGGCCGGGCCGGGGTCCCCGCGGAGCGCGAGGCCGAGCCTCGGGTCAAGGAGAGCCGCTCGCCCGCCAGGGAGGACGGCGCCAGGACGCCCCACGGCGTGAGGGTCAAGGAGGAGCGCGGGGAGGACGAGGCGCCCGAGCCCCCGGGGGGCGCCCCGCACCCCGCGCCCCTGCAGCCCGGCCCGGGCCGCTTCGCGTGGGAGCCGTTCCGCGGCCTGGAGCTGCCCCGCCGCGCCTTCCCCGCCGCTGGGTTCGAGCCCCCGGAGCGCCCCTACCGCGACCGCGAGCCTCGCGGCTTCAGCCCCGACCGCCTGCGGCCGCCCCCCGCCCCGGACGCCCTGCACTTCCCGCGCCTCGCGCTGCACAACGCGCCGCCCCCGCTGGTGACCGCGGCCGCGCCCCCCACGCCCCCCGGGCCGCCGCGGAGCCGGACTACGCCGCTGGGGGGCGACTACTCGCCGTCCCGGAACCCCCCGGAGGTGGAGGCGCGGTAGTCCCGGGCCGGATTCGATCCCAGGACTCAGCACAGCTCCGCGCCCCGCCGCCCTCCGGGGTTCGGCGGAAAAAATGTGTTTGTACCTTTTCCCCCACAGATGAGAAGTGTTTTTAATGGATTTGTATTTTTCTTAATTTTATGCTCTTTAGACATTTAAAAGAACCAAAAAAGAAACTTTGGCTTCTTCGTTTTCGGTTGGGATTTGCAGTCCGACGGCCTCCGCTCCTCCTCCACGTCCCCAGGGTCTCTTTGTCTTATTTATGGAGAAAAACCGGTCACTTTGTCCAGCGCACTGTGAGGCCCCGCCCAGGCCCGCCCTGGCCCCCTGGTACTTGGAACCGAAGTTACAGATCTATATTAAAATAATAATAACGGTGTACACAACTTTGCTTTTTGCCTTATTCTATTATGCAGAAGTGTAAGAGGAGTTTTGGGTTTGTTTTTTAAAAAGCAACCGGAACGTGTAAATAGTCTGTTGATACAAATGTATGACGTTATTAAATTCTTAACGTAGATAGGCTTTATAAAAACGGTTTCCAGAAACCCCTCTGGTTGTTTGTCTAACAAACATGGTCACAAAAACCCAGGCGCTGCCAGTCGTCAGCGTGCTCAGAAGCTAACTGGCAGCGGCTTTCCGTCAACTATGCAAGCGCTCCTCGGTGGGCGGCGGCTCTGTTGGTGGCAGAGGAACCTTCCTCCTGCGACCCCCCAGCCCCTGGGTCCGTGGAGGGGTTGGGTCCCCCCAGCAGGGCCCCTGGGCCATCGGAGAGCAGCACTCCTGGGTGGCTCGCGTGGGCTTCAGGACTGGCTGGCTCCAGCCACAAGGGCGATTCCGTGGACGTTTGTGTGGATGGTGCAGTGTTCTCAAAATCTGCAGACCAGACTGGTGGAGTTTTAGAAGTGCAGGAGTCTAAAGGCTGATGACAAAAACAAACAAACAAACAAACAAACCTGCTGTTGTGTCTTCTCCCATCTGAGGCGTCATCGTCGCCTCAGCGCGGCCCCCGCCTCCCAGGCCCTTGGCCTGGCCGCCTCTCGGTTTGGGTTTCGCCCTCACCCACGTGAGCCCCCACGTCCTGCCCTCCCCGAGGCCTTCTGTATCCCCCGCGTCGGGCTGGTGTCCCCGCCGGCGTTCCCAGCACCCAGCGTCGGCCTCTGGGCCACTCGCTTTGTTCAGTTCTGTGTCTCAGCTACGTTTCCACAGTGGACCCCGCTCGTTTAATTCTGTCCCCGTGTCGATCAGTAACTATGTAAATACAGTCTTGATTTGGATGAAACTGTGGTCGTGTGTTCTGTGTGGCGTTGGGGCGCTGGACTCTCCCAGGCTGACCCTGACAGCCAGTAGGTTCCTCCTGCGGGTGCCTTGGGATGCCAGGCGCCTCAGCGGCCCCACGATGGTGGGTGCTATCGCCCCGGAGGTGAACAGGTCCTGGCTCCCTGGCCCCGCTGCCACCCCGGCTCTGCCGAAGCCCCTCCCCCCAGCGCCACCTCTTCCCCTCAGCGCCCCCTCCCCACCAATGCAACCTGTCCCCCCCACGCCCCCTCTCCCCCCCCGTGCCCCCTCTCCCCCCCCCGCGCCCCCTCTCCCCCCTCAGCACCCCTCTCCCCCTCATGTCCACTGAGTTGTGCATAGAAGGTGCTCTTTGTTCTCGCTCTTGTGCCAGGAAGTTCTGGCCACACAGGGACTCACGTCCGTGTGGCATTGGCCTTGCCCTGGCTGTGCTGGGGTGAACAGGAGAGGGCAGGGACCAGGTGCAGAGGTGGCAGCCCCCACCCTCCAGTGTGTGAGTACCAGGCCCACCTGCCTTGAGTGTTGGTGGGGAAAGCTCCAGGTACACACCTGGCCTTGACGTGAGCATCAGCCACACCCTGTGGGTGACCCCCCAATGGGCACTGAGGAAGGAGAACTGTCCAGAGCCCAGGAACAATTAGTGCCCAAAGAACATCTTAGTTTATAGTGTTACTACTTAGCTATTTCCTTTACATAATCCTTCATCTATAATCATATGTTAGTTTATAGAATTAGTGCCTGAGTTATAACTTACTGCTTACATATATCCAGCTTATATAATCATACTTAGTACTTACATCTAGCATACTTAGTCCCATATAATCTTTCTATATAATCATATAACTCACTGCTTACTGTATCTAGCTTATATATATAAAATCATACTTAGTCCCATATAATCTTTCTATATAATCATATAACGGATGTAGGTGGAGCTGTACCGACACATTTAGTGCTGATTTATAGAATCCTTCCATAGAACCACATAGTCAGTCTGTAGTAGGAGGAAGGCCTAGAGCAGTCACAGAGCAGAAGCAGCACATGGGAGAACAGCCGGACCAGGACGAGAACCCAAGACCCAGGCGGCGGCGGCCCTGCCTGAAAGGGCACACGCTGTATGGCAGGCTTGGAGCAGGAGCCTCTCCTCCTGATAAAGGAGTCGTAGGACCTTGCATCCAGTTCCTGTGGAAAGTCGGCCTCAGGCCTGAGATCCTGGAAGTAACCGAGGGAGAAGAACCCTCCGGTGTGACCAGTCACAGCGGCTGGACACCCTGTCAGTCTTTTCTCGCTTCTGTGCCAGCTCGAATCATCCTCCCATAAATATCTTAAGAGAAGAGCACACGTCTGTCAGTTCCCACTGTGTTGGCTTACATATCCTTCTATTAGAAACCCTTGAAGTCTCCAGCCCCCAGATAAGAAGTGTTGCCCATGACACCTGCTGCACACAGCCCACCTCCTTGCCTCAGTGACCTAATGGGGGTGGACCCCTTTTCTGTACACGACCCTCTGCTACTGTGCACGGCACAGCCGCCTACTGCGCACCGCCCACCTCTCTGCCCAGGTGACATAATGGGGTGGCCCCCTGGCTTGTTATTCACGGGATTATTACGCCCTATCACTAAGCCTAGAGATGATGACCTCACTCAGGACCCTGCCCCCTGCTTGTACCTAATAAATACAGACGCTTCTGGGCGTTCAGGACCTCGCCTGTCTCTGCTCATAGATGGTGTGGTCCCCTGAGGCCAGCTGCTCTTCTCCAGTTCTTCAGTGTCCTGTCTCTTTATTTGTCAGATCCTGCACCTCAGCACAGCATAAGGGACACCCCACGACCCTGTGGGGCCAACAGCCCTGCAGACCACTGTAGCCTGGACCGAGGAGGGACCCCCTCAGCCTGGACAGAGGACCCGGACCCTCTACCCGGCTGCAGTCATGGGAGGAGCCCCGGACTGAGGGACCGTCTAGAAACCCCAACTGCGTCCTCCCAAAGCACTCAGGTCTCACGGACATGGGAGGAAGCTGGGGCGGTGTGGCGGACTCTGGGCTGGGGGGAGGGCACCTGGGGGAAGTGTTTTAGTCGGGGAGACCCTGAGGTCTTCCTGGGAGCTGAGGTGGGAGCGCTGCGGGTCCTCTGGGTGTGTGGGGCAGGCAGGGCTGCGGGCGGCGGGCCAGGTTCCGGGCAGCAGGACCCCATACGCCCACTAGAGGGTAGCAGCGCTCTGCGGCCCTGGACGCCACCCCCACCATCACCGCTCCCCCACCCCCACCAGCCAGCTCCAGAGAGTGGGGCTGGGCCAGAGGCAGCACAGGTAGGTGGGCAGCCCCTCCTGATACCCCACAGGACTGGCAGGAAGGCTGCCAGGATGATCTGCTGTGGCCTCAGCGCCCAGCACACACAGGGCTGTGGTCTCTGGGCCAGAAGCCTGATCCTGGGGCTGGAGCCTGGCTTGTTCTGGAACCTCCCTGTCCTCAAACAGCCCAGGTAGCCCTGCAGGACGGTCCACAGTGGCTAACACGACTGCCCAGACCCCCCCAGATTCCCCAGGCCCCACTGACACCCCCAGACCCCCACCGACACCCCCACATCCCTACTAACACATGCAGGTAGCCCTGCAGGACAGCCCACAGTGGCTAACACCCCCAGGCCCCCAGCTGACACCCCAGGGCCCCAGCTGACCCTCGCAGACTTCCACTGACACCCTAGACCCCAGTCGGACCCCCACACACCCCTTGACTGATACCACCAGACACCCTCAGAACCCATGGCCACACCCCCAGACTCCCCAGCTGGAAATCCCAGACCCTCTGGCCACATCCCCAGACTCCCTTGCCCGCAACCTCAGCCTAAGAAGGTTAAGGCAGACATCCCCAGACCCTGTGACCCCCAGCTGGACACCCCCAGACCCCGTAGCCAACACCCCAGACCCTCTGGCCCGTGGAGCGGACTGGCCAAGCCCCATCAGAGGAGGCAGTTCCTCCGAGCTGCTGGCTGCTTCCCACAGTCGGGCACGGCCGGGGCAGCGCCTGGCGCCCTCGTCCCTCCTGCCTCCCACAGTCGGGCACAGCCGGGGCAGCGCCTGGCGCCACTCGCCACAGAGGGCCTGGGGCAGCACTTTAATTCTGTCTGTAATTAAATGAAACTGCCCTTTGAAAAATGCTGGCTTTTCACTGTCCAGGCAGCAAATTTTCTAAAAGCAGATGCTCTTTGTTCTGGGAAGTCACTTGATTTGCTGAGTGTGTGTGTGCCAGTGCGTAGGGCTGTGTGTGGGGGGTGGGGGCCTGTGTGTGTGTGTGGGCCTGCGTGCATGTGGGCCGTGTTGTGTGTGTGACTGTGTGTGTGCGCCTGTGTGTGCATGTGTGTACGTGTGTGCCTGTGTGTATGCTTGTGTGTGGGTCTGTATGCGCCTGTGGGCCTGTGTGTACGTGTGCGCTGTGTTGTGTGACTGTGTGTGCCTGTGTGTATGTGTGCCTGTGTGTGCGTGTGGGCCTGTGTGTGCTTGTGTGTAAGCCTGTGTATGCATGTGTGCCTGTGTGTGCGTGTGGGCCGTGTTGTGTGTGCCTGTGTGTGTGTCCTTGTGTGTGGTCCTGTGTGTGTGTGTGTGTGTGTGTGAGCCTGTGTGTGTGTGGACTTGTGTGTGTGCCTGTGTGTGCATGTGGGCCGTTTTGTGTGTGTGCGTGTGCCTGTGTGTGTGCTTGTGTGTGTGGTCATGTGTGTGTGCGCCTGTGTGTGCCTGTGTGTGCATGTGGGCCTGTGTTGTGTGAGTGTGTGTGTGGGGAGGTTCTAGACCCTGGTTACATGTTAGAACCACCCGACAGCTCTGAAAAGTACAAAGTCCTGCACCCCGACCCCGGAGGTGCTCACTGAACTGGTCGGACGAGCCTGGGTCAGCCCCACTAAAGCCGCCAGGGTGTCCACCCTGCAGTCCGGGAGGCCAGGAGCCCCGTTCCTCCACACGGCCTCCCTGGGACACAGCTCCGGCATGGAGCGGCTTCAGGCCAATGTGACCCTGTCCTGACGACGGGGACTTGGACAGGCGTGCTTGCAGGGAGGATGACGCTGGCGAAGGCGAACGCGGACCGGGCGAGGGGTCCACTCTCCTGGGGCCCCCAGGCCTCCACCTCTATTTCCAGCTCCCAGTCTGCAGAACCGGCTGTGTTCAGTGGCCTCCGAGGGGCTGTGAAGACGGCTGGGACAGGGAGGGCCAGGCCTCTGTCACCCTGAGCTGGGGAGGCTGGGGTGAGATTCATTCCAGGGCGCCAGTCAGGGAGGGTGAGGGGGGGCCCTGGCCGCATCTGATCCGGAACCCGCCGCGTGCACACACCACGTGCACACACCACGTGCACACACCACGTGCACACAGTGGGTGTCCCCTCTGGTTGGCAGTTACTTGCCCATCCTCTCCTCTCACCTGGGCATGGATGGGGCGCTCTGGGGCTTAGGTGTCCCTTTGGTGGCCGTGCCCAGCTCAGGGCCCACCTCCTGCACGCACGGCTGGACCTTGCTCCTTGTACCACGCGGGCGTCCGAGGCCCACGCCTATCTGCTCCCTGTCCTGCCGATCCCAGCGAGACAGCCAGAGGCGCAATGATCCCTGCAGAGGCAGGGATGTGGTGGCCACGGAGGCCTCAAGGCGCCGACGCTCTGCCTCACCTGGGGCCGTGGCAGCTCTGGGCTCCCTCCCTGAGACGGACAGGCGGGAGCACTGGTGCGTCATCCTCCCTCGGGCAGCATGGTTTTGGCCACACTCCTGAGGGGGCCCCCGGTTCCCGCCATCTAACTGGCCTTTGCCCTCCAGGGCCCAGAAAACCAGGGTGGATGGGGCGCCCGCGGCTGTCTGTGCTCTGCTGCTCCGTGGCGGTTTGAGGGCACAGGTCCTCACTGACTCCGACGCCCAAATCCCAGGGAGAGAGCGATGCTGTGTCCAGGACCTAGCAGGAGGGGCAGGTCAGGGCTGGCCCTGAGACCCCCATGCCCGGGGCCCGCCCCCAG